TCTCTCTCTCTCTCTCTCTCTCTCTCTCTCCTTCCTTCCTTCCTTCTTTCTTTCTTTCTTTTTTTTTTTTTTCTGGGACAGGGTTTCTCTGTGTAGCTCTAACTGTCCTGGATCTCACTCTGTAGACCAGGCTGGACTCGAACTCACAGAGATCCTCCTGGCTCTGCCTCCTGAGTGTTGGGATTAAAGGCATGCGCTACCACTGCCCAGCTTTGCTTTTATTTCTTGAGACAAAATCTCACTGTAGAGCCTGGTCTAGCCTGCAGCTCATCTCTCCCCTGTGAGCTGCTGGGATCCCTAGTTTGTGTCACCGTGCCCAGCAGGGGTTTGAATCCTGATCTTGCCTTTATTTTAGTGGTACTTTCTGCTTTGTGTCATCTGTGGGCGGCAGATCCGACTGCCTTCATGCCGACTAAGGTTGAGGAGCCACTGAGATGGCTCAGAGGGCAAAGGTGCTTGTGGTCAAGCTTGATGACCTGACTTCAATCTCTGGGACTAACATGGTAGAAGGAAAGAATGACCCTTACAAATTCTCCTCTGACCTCCATATGTACACCATGGCATGCCCCCACCCCTATTTATAAATAAATGCATTAAAAAAAAGATTGAAGAAGAAAAAGAATAGGTCAAATGTATAGTCATAAGAGGTTCTAACCAGCTTCTTATGGCATTCAGTTTCACATCTATTTAGCGCGCGCGCGCGCACACACACACACACACACACACACACACACACATATTTTGAGATAGAATCTCATCCCTGGCTGACCTTGAACTCACAGAAATCTGTTTGTCACTGCCTCCTGAGTGCTGAGATTAAAGGCATGAGTCACCATGCCCAGCCTATTTGATATACTGGTCAGAAATTTGTCACCATTTCCCCAAGATCTCATCATAGATGAATGTAAATTGGGTTAAGGTGGCCAAGTTGAAGGTGAGATTTTTAGGGAACTCAAGAATTTTAGGAGGCTGGAGAGATGGCTCAGTAGTTAAGAGCACTTGCTGCTTTTCCAGAGGACCCAGGTTCTATTGCTAGCATCCGGGCAAAACACCTGTACATATTAAAAAGGGGGGGGGGTTTCCAAGGCTGAGGAACAGTAGGGATCTGATGACGACAGGATTTAGGGAAAGAAAAGTAAGAGATTCCCCCCTCCCTTTTCTCTTTTTGAGAAGGGGGTCTCACTCTAGCCCAACCCAGCCTGGACTCAGTACATCCTTAGACTGAAGGCCAGCATCCTGCCTCAGCCTACACCTTGCATGTGTGAGGTAAGCAGTCCATGGCTGCCTCTTACCGTCTGGCCTTTCCATTCTCCCAGGCTGAAGTCCACAGCAGGCAGCAGGACAGGCGTAGACAAAGGGTTGATGTCAGGGCACTGACTCTGGTAAGAAAGATGGAGAGGAGGGAAAAAAGCTGAAATCGGGAGCAGGATGGTGGCCCGTGGCTGAGGTGGCCTCCCTTAGTCCCATGCCCATACTAGAGCGTCTACGAGACTCCAGTGCAGATCACAGCCCTTGCCAGGGAGGGACCGAGACACGGTGGACCAAACAGCAACGCTGGAGTGAGAGGAAGTGAACGAGTGGGTACCTTATCAGTTAAGAGGGTAGGAGGCATAGTGTTTGGGATGCTCACCAGCCGGCTGTGAAGGAGATGGGAGTCACGGAGCAGTTTGTTGAGGAGTCTTGGGTCGCAGGCAGGAGGAGCTGGGCTGGACAGAGTTAGTCTCGCAGTAAGGAGAAGCATGGCCACCAGGAGCAGATCTTCGAAGTGAAGTTGAGGGGTCGGCAAAGAGAAAATCATTCTTAGGTGGTGGTGACTCGGATTCCCATTTGGGAGCCAGACTTGAAATACAGGTGTCTGCTGCTGTCCAGGCAAACACCCTTTCTTGGGAGATGGGGTTTCCCAGCCCTCTGCTCGTACGGCATTGTTCCCGCCTCCTACCCTGCCAAGCCCTTCTTGAACTTGTTCCGAGGGTTTTCTTACCAGTCAGCTCCATTCTGGCCAGGGTGTCTGGCTGGAGGGGCTCCCTGGATGGGGCCTCTCCCCTGAATCTTTCCTGGGGCCATGGAGGCGGCTTGAACTCTTGCACTTCTGCAGAGTGGTTGGGGCACAGGTGGGCTAAGGAATCTATCCTGAAAATGACAGAAATAATGAATCTTCCCTCAGGTTTCAAAGAAAAGACTGCGTGGCATGGGGAGACACGTGCTCCAGGGCCCCGAGCTGCTGGCTGGCCGGGGCCAGAGCTGTTAGCGCCCCAGCTGCTCCCATGTTTTCTTGTGACTGAAGCAGATAGTGTCTCTTTGTCAGGGCTCTTCAGTGACTCTGACAGGGTCTCGGTGCTCCGTCTACCAATTGTTGTCCTGCTGAGAGCAGCAAGACATGACATGTACACACATTCCTTACTTGGACTCAAATTCTGAGCAACCTTGGTTGTTAGTGGGTGAGGATGTGGGATGGGGATAGAGAAGGGACGTGTGCAAACCCGGAGAAGAGTAGAAAATGGCTTCTCTGCTAAGAGGAGGAAGGGGCAGGTGGCACACGTGTTGGAAGTGGGTCTGAGGCAGGAGATTGGTAAAGATAGAATGGACCGCCAAAAGCAGGAATTAAAAGAGACACTGGCTTCTCATTCTTCCCCTATTTGCCCCCCACACAGATAAAACCTGGGACTCTTCTTTGGACTGCCAAGTTCGGAAGTGCCCCCTTATTCAAATCAAAGGGCTCACCGTACTAGGACTTCCTTCCTGAGGCAGTGGCCCAGGATGAGGCACCGAGAGCAGAATGCAGCCTACCTCACATGGCTTATCTCGCCTTAGATACTTGCCAATGCATCTGTCTCAGCCGCACCTGCCTCCCCGCCCCCTCCAGGTCCTTCCAGTGTCTTCTTAGGACCCCCGCTTTTCACAAGTTGAGCAAAGAGGCCTTAAGATCCTCCTCTTTTCACAAGTTGAGCAGAGGCCTGCACCTGATTCAATATTGGGATCTCCTGTAGGTCTGTCAACATCCACAAGCCTCCTCCCATTACCCTCTTCTTGCGCCTTGGCTCACCTGACCCAGCTTTCCCAGTCCCAGGATTCAGAACCTTAAGCTAACAAGAATGACCATATGAGAATGGGGATTAGGATTATGTCCCTTAGTGCAAAGTTCTCTAGCCCCACACCCACTTCTTTTCTTATTTTCTCGTGGCCCGGAGGCAGCCAGGACTGTTCTGAGTTCTACCAAGTCTGTGAATAGTCCCTCATAAACCAGTACCCAACCCCCTTTCCCGGCTCTGTCCCGCTCCTCCCATTCTGGGAAGGCTCCACTCTTCTTGACAAAGGTCAGTGCCTGTAGGTTCCAGTGTGCCTGCCCCTCCCCCAGTCAAGAGCCGGGTTCCTTTTTGTTCTTCAAACCATACCCTCACTTAACCCCAAATGTGCTTGTCACTCACCGGCTGGAGAAGGGCCCCAGGACCAAGGTGCACAGCAGGCCACACTCTGGGGAGCAGGTAGGTAGGAAGACACTCTTGGGGCACAGCCCCTCCTCTGCCGTGGGGTCACAAGCCTGCCCAGGCCACTTCCACCCAATCAGAAAGCCCAGAGCCACCAAGCCCTGGTGAAGGCCCCGGAAATGACGAGTTCTTTTCCTACCTACTGGAACTGGAGCCCCTGCCTGGACCATGGTCCATGAATGGAGCCCAGCTCTTCCACCCACACACGCTCCAGAGAGGGTTTACATAGGGGGAGCTGTCTCATGAGAACCTGGGATCTGGCTGAGGGGGCAGGAGAGGGTTAGTCCAGGAGAATCCATTTGTCCATGGGAAAGAGAGGTCTTGTTTTAGATTGATGGAGTTTCAGCTCCTGGCTCTCCAAATTTCTTTTCCCTGAACACTATACCTGCTGTCGAAATCCAAGAGCTTTCCTGGCATTTCCCTTTCCAACAGGCAGTTTAGGTGTTGTCTATATTAGGGAATGACCATGTTATAGGAAAGAGGGTATGGGCAGTGGGAGGGAGCTGGGGAGTGAAGGGGTATGCGTTTGGTTAAGACTGGCCCCAAAGCACGCCGTTAATCCCAACACTTGGGAGGCAGAAGCAGGTGGATCTCCATGAGTTTGAGGATAGCCTGGTCTACCTAGTGAGTTCTAGGCTCGCCATGGCTACATAATGAGAACCTGTCTAAAAAGGAAAGAAAAGCAGACAGATGGACTGGACTCAGATGCCTTTCTTTCTACTGGGGGCACAGGCACCTGGACATCTAAACACACTTAGCCCTGTGTGCAAGCCTGCCCTTGATTGCCCAATGGCTCTCTCCCATTCCTACCACTCTACATGTGACAAGAGGAATAACCAGGCCCATCTGTCCCTGTCTTAGGGAAGACAGCTGCTGAGCATCCCCACAAACAACTCTGTGCTGGCGCCTCTCTTTCTTCCCTTGGCCCAGGCTCTAGCTCCCGTGCATCCTCCTCAGACCCTGTCTCCCCACAGTCTCTGTCCTCAGGGATCTCCTGGCCTGACCTTGTGCTGGCTCCCTTGTTCTTCCTCAGGCTTTCTCCTTCGCCTACTCTGAGGATGGGCTGTCCACTAAGGAGTATGGCCCAGATCCCAGAATTCTCTAGTTCAATAAGAAGAGATGCCTCCTAAGATTAGGATCCTGGTGCTGGGATAGTGGGGAAGAATGGTGGGGGTGGAGGAGATGGGGAGGCAGGACTAGAGAAGCAGGACAAAGGAGGCTGAGAATGAGCTGCAGAGGACGAGCTTGGATGAAGGAAAAGGGTGAAAGCCAGGTGATGGTCGGATGGGCTTGTGACCAGGTTACAAGGTGTGAGGGAGTTGTTACTCCACTGGGTGGGGGGAGCACTTCTTGATTTGGGCTCGGTCCCTGTCCCCGGGAACTCCAGAAAGAGAGAGAAGAGACCCTAGAAGGGAGGAACAGACAGTGAGAGAAGGAGGGGGCTGTGGGTCTTAGGCAGGGGAAGATCGCTGTCCCTTTCAAAGACAAGTCATCATCCTCCAGCGGCCCATCCTGCCCATGACTGGTACAGGCCAGAGGCCCAGCCTCTGCCCTTTCACTAGCCCGAGGCTCCGGTTTTGGGATGGACACCACAGGGGTGGCCGCAAGGAGTGTGTGTGGGGGGTGTCAAAGCCCGCCTCTCCTCCCCCTCTTTGCGCCCCCTGGTTCCTCCCTTCCCCCTGCCCACTCCGCTCCCCCCTCCTCCAGTCCCTCCCTCCTCCCCTGCCGGGTCCCAGCCTGTCCCCCTCCCCCACTCGCGATCCGGCCGCCGCTGCTGGGCCGGACCCCCCGGGCTCAGCCGGGCTCCTTGCGGAGCCGCCGCCGCGCCCCGTTTGCTGAAGAGGAGGCCCCGGGCCGGGACTCCTGGCGCGGGCATAAAACGGGCCGGAGCCGGCGCCTGGGGCACTAGAGCGGCTTACGGCCCAGGTCAGCGCCCAGCCGCCCGCGTCCTCCCGCCCCGCCCGGCCGGGAGCGGACTCGGCGACTGAGAGCCGAGCCCCTCGCCACTGCCCCCCTCCTGGCCCCGGCCCCCTCCCGCCGGCCCGCCTCCGGTCCGGCCCTACTCCCTCTCCTGCTCCCTCCTCCCGCCCGCCTCCCCAGCTGTCCGCTCCGCGTCATGCCGAGCCTCCCGGCCCCGCCGGCCCCGCGGCTGCTCCTCGGGCTGCTGCTCCTCGGCTCACGGCCGGCGGGTGGCACTGGTCCCGAGCCCCCCGCGCTGCCCATCCGTCCCGAGAAGGAGCCGCTGCCTGTTCGGGGAGCGGCAGGTAGGTGGGCGCCAGCGGGAGGCGCGGGCGGGGAGTCTAGCTCGGGGCAAGTCTGCACGCACCGGGAGAGGGCCCCGGGCGCAGGTGGCTCGGCGCAGCGGGAGGGCGGGAGGGGTAGGCAGAGGCGGCAGGGCGCACGGTGCCAAGGGACCCAGGGCCTGGCGGGCAGAGCCCGGAGCAGGCATTACGGCACGAGCAACCGGACAGCGGCCGCCAGCCAAGCCCGTCCCCACAGGCTGCTCCTTCGGCGGGAAGGTCTATGCCTTGGACGAGACGTGGCACCCGGACCTGGGGGAGCCTTTTGGGGTGATGCGCTGCGTGCTGTGCGCCTGTGAAGCGGTGAGTGGATACCGCAGCTGCCCGCCCTACCCTAGAGGGTAGCGGAACGCTGGCGTCCTAAGCCGTGGTAGACTCGGAGATGCTCAGGGGAAGGCTGGTCCTCAAATCCGGGGAAACCCCTTTCAAGTCTGCGGTGTTGACAGTTATTGATCGCCCACTATGTGGCTGGCTTTTAGCCAACTTCCCCCCTCCCACTGCAACCGTGCTAGATAAATGGCATTATTAGCCTTACTTTGCAGACAGGGACGCCAAGGCTCTGAGAAGTTAAGAAACTTGTCCAGGGCCATGTAACTTGTAAATAGCAGAGTTGACTGATTCCAGCAGAGGATCTTATCCTGGCGTCTGATGGTTGCACGTTACACTCACTTAATTTCCCTGTGTTCTCTGCCATCAGCCTCAGTGGGCTCGCCGTGGGAGGGGCCCTGGCAGGGTCAGCTGTAAGAACATCAAACCCCAGTGCCCCACCCTGGCCTGCAGGCAGCCGCGCCAGCTGCCAGGACACTGCTGCCAGACCTGCCCGCAGGGTGAGGCCCGATGTGCCCCGTGTTGAGGGTGGGTGGGTGGGTGGGTGGGAGGCTCCACACTAGGTTCTGTGCAGCTTGAATCGCTGAGGATGACTGGCCCTCCTGGTACCCTGCTGGAGCTAGAGGTCTTATTCCTTAAACCCCCACCCCCACCCCCATCCCCGACCCAGAGCGCAGCAATCTAGATCGACAGCCGGCTGGCCTAGTCTTCGAGTATCCAAGGGACCCAGAGCACCGCAGTTACAGTGATCGAGGGGAACCCGGCGCTGGGGAGCGGACACGTGCTGATGGCCACACGGGTAGGTGGGGGTGGGGGCGCGCCTGACGAAGTTTGGGGCTGGTGGCAAGGGTCGACAGGCCATCTTCTCTTCTCCTAGACTTCGTGGCGCTGCTGACAGGACCCCGGTCGCAGGCGGTAGCTCGCGCTCGAGTCTCTCTGCAGCGCTCAAGTCTCCGCTTCTCGGTCTCCTACCAGCGGTGAGACCGCGGAAAGAGCCAGGGCTAGGAGTGGTTAATGGGGGCAGGAAAGGGGAGCCTGGAGATTGCGGATCCAGGCTCACTGGACCTTTCTTCACAGGCTGGACCGCCCCAGCAGGGTTCGGTTCACAGATCCCACAGGCAGCATCCTGTTTGAACACCCTGCTTCCCCCACCCAGGATGGCCTGGTGAGATGATGCCCTTGATGAGTGCTTACCCCAAATGGGCACTTGCTGAGGGCAGGCTTTGCATCGCCGCCTCCTTTGGTTCTCACAACAGCCCAGTGGGAGAAAGACCCTGACATTATGATGCCCATTTTACAGAGGAGGGGACTGAGGCTCAGAATAGCAGAATGTGATTTGTTCAAGGTCATTTGGCTAGTAAGTGGTAAGCCAGGACTTAAACTCAAGGATCCTGGGTCCTTCTTAGGAGGGTCTGGGGTCTCCTCCCTCGTCAGGACTGGGCCTCTCGGCTGGCTTGTCCTGTGTACTGACTGTAGACTTTCTTGTCTCTTTGCTCTAGGTTTGTGGGGTGTGGCGGGCAGTGCCTCGGCTGTCTCTGAGGCTCCTAAGGGCAGAACAGTTGCATGTAGCCCTCGTGACACCCACTCACCCTTCAGGAGAAGTCTGGGGGCCTCTCATTTGGCAAGGTGCTCTGGCTGCAGGTAGGGGGAGTAAGCAGTTCTCAGATATAGGGCTGAACCTTCTCTATCCCGAGGGGTGGGTGGAACTCAAGAGAGGGTTTTCTGATGCCTGTTGTGGTCCTCCATTCCCCAGAGACCTTCAGTGCCATCCTGACTCTGGAAGGCCCAGCGCATCGGGGTGTGGGGGGCATAGCCCTGCTCACCCTCAGTGACACAGAAGACTCCTTACATTTTTTGCTGCTCTTCCGGGGTCTGCTGGGACCCAGGAATGGAGGTAAGCCGCGGAGAAGACGTCCACGAGCGTATAGGGAGGGTGCTGCTCATCTTTCGGAGACGCTCACATGTGCAGCCCTTGCAGGACTAGCTCAGGTTCCCCTGAAGCTTCAGATTCTCCACCAGGGACAGCCACTTCGAGAGCTCCAAGCCAACACCTCGGCCCAGGTAAGGGAAGGCCTGCCTCCTGCTGCTACTCGCTCTGGCCTCCTGCTGTGGCCCACCCCTTCCACTCTGTTTCCAGGAGCCAGGGTTTGCTGAGGTGCTGCCCAGCCTTACCGACCAGGAGATGGACTGGCTGGCGCTCGGGGAGCTGCAGATGGCCCTGGAGAGGGCGGGTGGGCCAGAGCTGCGCATCAGTGGATACATTACTGCCAGGCAGAGCTGCGATGGTGAGGCAGGGTGGGGCTCGGCGCTGTGGGTAGATGTGGGAGAGAGTCCCCCGGGGGTTCTGGGTGTGGGCAAGCCTGCTGCCCCCTGTCTTGCCCCCTGCAGTCCTTCAAAGCGTCCTCTGTGGGGCTGATGCCCTGATCCCAGTCCAGACGGGGGCTGCTGGCTCGGCCAGCTTGATCCTGCTAGGAAACGGCTCCCTGATCTATCAGGTAAGAGTCAGAAGCCGCAGGAGGTAGGGAGGGCAGCAGGGGGGAGCCTTGACCCGCAGCGGGAAAGGCCCCAGGTCTTGGCTGGCAAATCCAATTGCCCTCCCCCAACCCTGCCCACCAGGTGCAAGTGGTAGGTACAGGTAGCGAGGTGGTGGCCATGACACTGGAGACCAAGCCTCAGCGGAAGAACCAGCGCACTGTCCTGTGCCACGTGGCTGGACTCCAGCTGGGAGGACACATGGTGAGGGCCCCAGGCTGAGTTGTGCCAGGGCTGCCAATACATGGGCTGCGGGAAGCCAGGTTGGTTGAGTAGGGGTATGCAGTATCGTTCACACACCCGTGGGCTCTCTCAAGGAGCCTTTGATTCATGTGACACATTTTAGAAAACCTTAGGCTGGGACCCTGCCCTCCTCCTCAGCAAGCTCACAGTTAAACAGGAGACCGCGGCCAGGGAGAACAGTGAAATAGATGTTTCGCTCCCTTGGAGTGTTTAGTGTCAGGCATTGCCCTGGTTGCTTTATTTATGTATTTTGTGACCTTCACGGTACCCTTCGACAGATGAGTAACTCTTCAAGGGTCGTGATGTGGCTAGGAAGTGGCAGAAGAGGGCCTTGCCCTGCAGAGTTCTTGTCCAGCATTATTGGCACGAGGAAGGACATATGTGTGTAGTGGAGGCATGGACTTGGAAAGGCCTTGGGACCTGAAAGCTGAGAGGGCTCATCGTTCTCTGACCCCTAGGCTGTGGGTATCTGCTCTGGCCTGGGTGCCCGAGGGGCGCATATGCTGCTGCAGAATGAGCTGTTCCTGAATATTGGCACCAAGGACTTCCCAGATGGAGAGCTCCGGGGGCATGTGACTGCCCTGCCCTACAGTGGGCACAGTGCCCGCTACGACAGTGAGTGTCTCAGTCCGCCTGCCCCGTCTGTATCCCCTGACCTGTCGTCCGAGCGTCTAAGGGAAGGCACCAGGGGGCCAGAGCCTCATGTGCCCTCCTCTGCCCAAGCTCTGGCTGGCATCTAGAGAGGTGGGGATGCATAGGGTGCTGCCACGGGCCAATCCTCCCCGTTAGCATCGTACGGGGATTCTGTGCTGTCCCCCAGGCCCCGGGCTGATGGATAGTGCCTTCTTCCAATCCCCGGAGCGATGGGGTGTGCTCAGGGTAGGAGCCCCCTCTCCTCAGCTGTCATCTCTCATCTGTTTGGATTCAGGGTTGCCCGTGCCCCTGGCAGGGGCGCTGGTGCTGCCCCCTGTGCGGAGTCAGGCGGCAGGTCACGCCTGGCTCTCCCTGGATACGCACTGCCACTTACACTATGAGGTGCTGCTGGCTGGACTTGGTGGCTCAGAGCAAGGCACCGTCACTGCCCACCTCCTCGGGCCTCCTGGGATGCCAGGACCCCAGCGGCTGCTGAAGGGATTCTATGGCTCAGAGGTAAGGGAATAGAGACAGGGAGAAGCTTGGGCATTTTCTGCTCTTTAGCGTGAAGGGCTGTGTGGGTCGGTGGTTGGGGTGGAGCGAGCAGGCGGCCTGGTATAGAGTGGGCGTGGCCTTAAGTGTCAATCAGGCCTAGGTATAAATCAGACTCAGCTTTATTATGTATGCATTTTCTTTTCTGTGTCCTTTGTCCTAAATGATCCCCAGGATAGAGGTCCCGAGTCTCTAAAAGAAGTAGGTGGGATGGACCATGCCTCTGAAGTGGTGTGGGCTGCTGTAGACTTGGGGTCAGAGAGACCTGGCCTCCATCTTGGAGACCTTAATCTCTTGGGTCTGTTTCTTCGCCTGTAAACTGGTGACAGTAGGCTTTGTCCTAGAGTGCTTTGTGGGGCTGGAGGGGTGGCTCTGCGGTGTGGCTGATCTCCTGGAGGACCCAGTTTCAGTCCCCATCGCTCATATGGTAGCTCACAACCCTCTGTCACTCCAGCTCCAGGGAATCCAACACCCTCTTCTGGCCTCTGTGGGCAGCAGGCCCGAAAGCACTCATACGCATAGAATCAACTGTTAGGGAACCCTAAAGTGCTGTGTTTCTGTCCTTCACTTGGTCTGTCTGCAGGCCCAAGGTGTGGTCAAAGACCTGGAGCCCACGTTGCTGCGGCACCTGGCACAGGGCACCGCCTCCCTGTTGATCACCACCAAGAGCAGCCCCAGAGGGGAACTCCGTGGGCAGGTAGGCGGGGCTGGTGCAGCTGCTTCTGCTCTCCGACCCCTAAGGTGGTGGTATTAAATTCTGGCTAGTGATAAGCATGAAGCCACACGGGTGCATAAGGAGGTTGGCAGCCTACTGCCCTCGCTTTGCGGCTGGGATGAGCACTGAGGTGGATAGTCTCTGCCTGGGCGCTCCCGTCAACCGCCAGCAGCGGCTGTTAGAGATGTGAGGGGGCGCCCCAGGCCAGCCTCAGTTTCCCTCTCTTCACAGGTGCACATTGCCAGTCAGTGTGAGGTGGGGGGTCTGCGCCTGGCCTCAGAAGGAGTGCGGATGTCAGTGGCTCCGAATGGAGAGGCAGCGACATTGCCGATGTTGCCTGCTGGGCCTGGGCCTGAAACCCCAGTGCCAGCCAAACATGGCGGCTCCGGGAGGCCCCGAGACCCTAACACGTGCTTCTTCGAGGGGCAGCAGCGCCCCCATGGGGCTCGCTGGTCACCCAACTATGACCCACTCTGCTCACTCTGCACCTGCCAGGTAGGATGTCCGGGTAGGGCACAGCTGGCCACAGGGTCTGGAGCAAGGGGACCCAGCACACCTTCCAAGCCTTGGCCCCTCTCTACAGAGACGAACAGTGATCTGTGACCCCATAGTATGCCCACCACCAAGCTGCCCCCACCCAGTGCAGGCGCTGGACCAGTGCTGTCCCGTGTGCCCAGGTGAATGTTCTGCAGGGGAGGACAGGTAGTGGAGGGGCATCCACGGGAGAGGAGTGCTCTCGGGTGGGAAGCAGGGACCCCTCTGCCTCACCCCTTTGTCTCCACAGAGAAGCAACGCAGCAGAGATCTCCCCGGGCTACCGAACCTGGAACCAGGAGAGGGTGAGATGGGAGGGTGGGGTTCAGGGGTGGGAAGATCCAGAGAAGCCGTCGGGTTGGGGCAAGAGGGCAACAGAGTGTGTGCCTGGGGGAAGCTGAGGCACACAGGTTCTAAGCAAACCAGACAGTCCTCATTAGTGTTGACTGGCTCTTGGCGTAGCCCGGTGTGGGACTGCCCTGAGGCTTGGTTGTGGGCCCAGCTGGCAAGACCAGGACTGATGGCAGCTGGGTACTCTTCCCCACCAGGCTGCTATTTTGATGGTGACCGGAGCTGGAGGGCAGCGGGTACCCGGTGGCACCCGGTTGTGCCCCCCTTTGGCTTAATCAAGTGTGCTGTCTGTACCTGCAAGGTATGGCTACATACTCTTCTCTGGTATCGCAACCCAGTCGGGTCTGCAGATAGAGGGAGGGGCTGCCTAGAGAGCAAAACCTGTCTTTGATGAGGAGGCCTCAGGATGGTATTGTGACAAGCGGTCCCTTGGGGTTTGAGAGCAGATTTCCTGTAGGAGAGGGTGAAAGACGGACAGGTACACATTGTGGATGTGCCAGCTGACTGACTTCATGTGACCCTTGGTGCTTTCTGAATTTCCAAAAGCCTCTCGTGTGGACAAATAAGGCACACTAACTACCTTAGGAGATACAATGAGGATTTGAATTCGGATCTAAGGCAAACTCAGGTCTCTGAGTAAAAGGCTGCACATGTATGTCACCTGAGGTGGGAAAGGAGAGAGGAGGGCTATGACCCCCTCTCCCTGACACCCTTTCTCAATGGATACCTGCAGGGGGCCACTGGAGAGGTGCACTGTGAGAAGGTGCAGTGTCCTCGCTTGGCCTGTGCCCAGCCTGTCCGTGCCAACCCCACTGACTGCTGCAAACAGTGTCCAGGTGAGAGGCTTGCTCACTGAGGCCTCACCTTGGGGTTGGGGTAGACCCTGACCTGTGTTTGGGGTGTGTGATGGGGACGGGAAAGGAGCTTCTTACTTACCAAGTGCTGCTTATGCCTGGAGCTAAGAACAGTGGAGAGGATGTGCATGTATGCAGAGTGAGGTGATGGGGTCTAGTCCCATCAACCCAGCCATTCATGCATCCATCTACCTACCCATCTGTCCATCCATCCATCCATCCATCCATCCATCCATCCATCCATCCATCCACCTAACCAGTCACCCATCTACCTAGCCACCTACCATCTATCTGTCTATTCATCTATCCATCCATCCATCCATCCATCCATCCATCCATCCATCCATCCACCTACCTACCCAGCCATCCATCTACCCAGCTACCCACCATCCATCCATCCATTATCATCTATCTACTCCATCTGTAATTCATCCATCCATTCACTCATCCATCTTTCATCCATCCATCCACCCATCCATCCAATATCTATCCACTCCATCTGTAATTCATCCATCCATTCACTCATCAATCTCCCATCCATCCAAAATTATCACCTATCAAGTACCAGACACTATTCATTGGTAGGGATTCAAAGAGAGGTGAAGTTAGTTGACCCTTCTGGACTGACTTTGTCTTTTCTTTCCCAACAGTAGGGTCAGGGGCCCATGCCAAGCTGGGAGACCCCATGCAGGCTGATGGGCCTCGGGGGTGTCGCTTTGCTGGGCAGTGGTTCCCAGAGAACCAGAGCTGGCATCCATCAGTGCCCCCCTTTGGGGAGATGAGCTGTATTACCTGCAGATGTGGGGTAAGTTTGGGGGACTTGCATGAGGTGGGCAGTATGTGCTTGACCTGGAGCAGGGAAGCCTTCTCAGGGAGATTCCTAGAGATGGCTTTTCCTGAAGAGGCTGAAGAGGCTGTGAGGAACCTCAATGTCTCTGCATCCTGCACCAGGCCGGGGTACCTCACTGTGAGCGAGATGATTGTTCCTTGCCACTGTCCTGCGGCTCAGGGAAGGAGAGTCGATGCTGTTCCCACTGCACAGCCCAAAGGTGTAAGTGAGGAGGCTGGGGCAGCTGCTGTGGGCTGCCCATAGGTACCCGGGAGGGATGGGTGCCCCTGTGGAGGTGGGAACTATGGTCTGCTTTACAAGTGCCGCCGTCCCAGCCCGCCCCTCCAGGCTAGTCACTTATTGCCGTTTCTTTACAAATGGGGTTTCTGAAGCTTGGGGCAAGCAACTGGACCACAGTTATGCAGGTGGTATGTGCTGACTTGTTTGGACAATTTGGGCCTTTCCGGGACTGGATCAGAAATCTTGTGCCTGGTCCCCTATGCCTTCCTCCCGGACACCCTGCTCCCCGTCTCCTTCACCATTCACCCCCTTCTGTCTTCAGCAGCCTCTGAGACTAGAACCCTTCCAGAGCTGGAGAAGGAAGCTGAGAGCTCCTAGGGAGCGTCCGGAAGGCCACATGACCAAGAGGATGGGCCTGAGCTGGGAGAAGGGGGTGCTGAGGACCTTGACTCTCCTGTGGGAAGCCCAGTGCCTTGAGCACCTCTGCTCTGCTTCTTCTCCTCCCTACTACCTCTGGGAACCACAAGTCTCCAAGGGCAAAGACTGCTGGGCCGGACCAAGGCCGTAGCCACGCTAGCTCCTGCCCTGTTACTCTTGGCCTCTGCTCCAGAAGCCTAACTCTTCTTCTGTACATAATGCCACTGGCTTATTGGGATTTTTAATTTATCCTCACTCAGCACCAAGGGTTCCCTCACACCATTCCTGCTGCCCCCTGAGCTGAGCAGAGTCATTATTAGAGATTTTTGTATTTATTAAAACATTTTTTTTCAGTCTTTGGGTTTGAGGTAGGCTCTTTGTGGCCAGGGCCCTGAGTGGGCCCCAGCGGAGAAAGAACTGAAAGTAGGAGGTGAGAGGGGAGTCCCGGGCCCAGATTCTTTCTGACCCTGGGAACTGGAAGGGGCTTAGGGAACAGGATGGCTAGCAGATGTATAGCATGTCTAGGTTCCATAAAGAGGGTTGGGACTGCCCGTCAAAGGGGGTGGAGTACCCAAAGTCAAGGTAACCTCAAGCTGAGTTCCCCGTGGCTAGCATTTTAGCTGATGCCATGTCTGAAGCTGCTCCAGGAAGAAACAAAAGTGCCCCCTCCCTGCCCCCAGCCTCTATCCTTTGTCTAAAGTGAGGTACACAATTTCCTTCCCGAAAACAGTTGTTTGCTGACCAGTTCAGGGGCAAGCCCAGATCAGAGCGAACTGGAATCAGCCCTGATCTAGTTAAAACTGAGCGCATCTTGAGATAAACCACTGTGTGAGCAGAACAACACGAGACCCCTTCCTTTACCTTTTCCTGTTTCCCCATATCCCTGCCACCAGGCACTGGATGCTCCTTCAGGCCCCTAGAGAAACAAGGGCAAAATGCTAGAAATCATATACATGCATGTATAAAAAATTCAGGATTCATCTGGTAGGGTGGAGGGAGGGAGAGGTCAGAGCTGCTAGTGTCAGGCCCACCGAAAGTGTAGCTAATAATCACCGTCTTAGCCCTTCAAAGCATCAAGGTCTAGTTCTGTGGTTATTTCACTGAGATAATTCGCTTTGATGCATCCTGCGTCCTTTGTGTAAGCCAGGTATCTCCCTCATAGGATGCAAACCATAGCACATCCATTGTGCAGCCTGGTACCTGGGAAGCATTTGTTAGAAAGAGCGCCCCAGTTGCAGTGGGACTTCTGGAGGTTGGCTGGAATGAGACAGGAGAACATGCAAGAGAAGGGAGGGCTTCTGCTGCATTGGCAGGATGTCTGGAGGGGCTAGGTTGAGGATGAAGGGTGGATAATGATGGGATGCTTGGCCTGGGCCAGAGCCTTGGCTCTTGCAGTAGGAGGATTGTGAGGGCCAGACAGAGATGAGAAGGCAGAAGGACCCAGAATGGGGTTCAACATAGGCTGAGCACAAAGTGCGGCATGATGGGAGATGCGGTTGTGCCCACCATACCGTCCTTACCAGCGAGGGAGCTGGGAGTTAGGTGAGAATGACCTGTAGGGCAGCTTGGAGGCTGCAGCAGACAGGGCTCATCCCACCATCTTTAGCTTTAGAGATCCAGAAGGGCCTCAGGATACCAGCCGAGCAAATGTGTGAACAGAATGGATGCAGGCAGGGCTGTTCTCTCCATACAGAAGCCGCTGGAGTAACTTTCCGGTCCTAGACTGCATTTCAGCCAAAGCCCAACGACAGTTCTAGGTTCTTCTCTCAAGCCCTAGGGAAGTAGGGTAGTGACCTAAGAAGTCCAGCCCTGTGTGTGGGTCTCTTCAAAGTCCTGGCATCCAGAGACCTCAAGAGACACCCCAGGGACTCCCCTTTAAGCAGCATGATGTCAGGGGCCTTTCTTTTTCTGAGGAAACCAAACTAAAAACAACAACAACAAAACAACCAAAAAACAAAAGAACAAGAAACACGAAACAAAAACCATGGAGATGTGATTTTTTTGGGCAGCGTCTTAACATCTCTCTAAACACTCACTCGTACAACACGTGGCCTCAAAGCTCGGAGGCAAACCTGCCACACTCCTGGGGCACACGGGCTGTTAGGACAGATGAGGTGGTTTGGATACCACTTGTTTTCAAAGAGAAGACTCACGTGTAGTTTTACTCTGCCATGGTCCCTTTGAACTTCTAGTGACATTCTTAATGTGCTTTTAATGTGCAGAATCCAGATTTGGGCATATCAGGCCACAAACAGCCACCAATTCTGTGGCTTTGTTCTGGTGGGGCTGTGGCCAAGTCACTAGAGCAATGCCTGTGAATCATTTATGGCAGTGACTTAGAAGGATCATTCTCAAATCGTAATTATGGGATGTCTGAAAGTGTCAATCAACATAGGGGGCATATGGGAGTCCAGGGCCCCCCTGGAGTGGGGAGTCCAGGTCAACCTCTTACTTTGAAGACAGACACAGAGCCACCAGCAAAGTCTGCACTCCAAAGACGGGTTTGTTTCAATAATGTTTCAGAGTAACTGTTCGATGGTGTCTTGTTCCTTAGTCTTATAAAAACAATGGGAAGTGGAAAGAATGAAGGCAGCCCAGTCATGGGGTACAGGTCTGTAACCCCAGCATTTTGGGGTGGAAGCAGGTGGAGCAGGCACTTGAGGCTGTTCTTGGTATGTAGTGGGTTCAGGGCAGTCTGGGCTAATGTGACCTTGTCAGAATAAAGAACAAGAACACAGAAGCAACACTTGTGACGTAAGGACAGAGACAGGAAGGGGAAGTCTCATAACTGCGGAGTGGATGTAGTTCTCTGAGTGCTTGAAGACACATCCAGCCTGACAGCTTTTAGGTCACCAGAGACCACATATAAAGGGACGCACGTGGGGTACACAGACTGTAGGGCTGCTGGGAACAGTCACATGCGGTAAAGGGGGAGGGTTTAGGAACTACAGCCTGATCAGAGTGCTCTGAGAATGGAGTGCCCCACACAAGTGCTTGCCTCGGATGTTTTCACCTACAAAGCAGGCACCAGGGTTGTTTTTGTTCATCATAAAAATAACTCACTGTGTATACATCCCTATCACCATGATCACGAGGTGCTTCTCCCAGGGCGGCGGAGCTCATCCATTCCATTCGGGATGTGCTGACACCTGGATGAGAAACTTCACTGTACAATTTGTGAGTTTACACTCTCCCCTTAATAAAATCATTGTGAATAATTATAACAATTAAAAATATATAAAATAATTATAAACACAAATATGTAAGAAAAAAATCCACAGCCTGGAGAGATGGCTCAGAGGTTAAGAGCACTGGCTGCTCTTCCAGAGGTCCAGAGTTCAATTCCCAGTACCCACATGGTGACACAACCATCTATAATTCAATCTGGTGCCCTCTTCTGGCATGCAGGCATAATAAATAAATAAATCTTAAAAAAAAAGAAAGAAAAAAAAATTCACCTAGTACTCCAAACCACAATAACAGTTATTCAGAAAAAAAAAAAAAAAAAAAAAAAAAAATGGGTTTTGGGGCCAACAAGATGGCTCATGGGTAAAGTCACTTGTTACATAAATCTGACTTTCATCACCAGGACCTACACAGTGGAAGGGAACTGACTCCACAGTGTTGTTCTCTTACATCTCATTGTGACACACACACACACACACACACACACACACACACACACACACACACACACACACACACACCACACACTCAAGCACAGGCATACAGTATACTACTAATACTAAAGTTTAAACTTGTTTGAAAATCAATGTTCATTTAAAGTTTCAGTTAGTTAAAACATTTAGTTGCCTGACCTCACTCCCCAGTCCTTGTCCTTCTTCGTCCTCACTTGTGACGTAGCCGTCAAGTCTCATTTTGAGAAATACGACCCTTCTTTGCCTTGTAACACCTGGTAAGGCAGAAACCCAACAGCTGGAGTAGTCCTCAGTAGTCTCAGAGTCGGCCGAATTGGCTTTCAGTTTTCAATTTTTAGTAAATGGACTGGAGTCCACCAGTGGCGTTTCAGCTCCTCAGCTCACAAGTATTGATAGTTGCCCCGTCCTGTGGACAGCTGAAGTGGTCCAAGGGACAGTGGCCGCTGCTGTTCTCGAGGGGAGGGGCCGGAGCGGGCTGCGGTGGGACGTTCAGTTTCTTCTGTCTACTCGCCTTGGCCAGCCAGGCTCACTGGCCAAGCCGCAGCCTCACTCACTGTGAGACTCGGGTTTCTCTTCCTCCTTGGAAGGCCCCATGCCTTGTTGAGGTCCCTGCTCTGCTTGGTGACAGAGACTTCCTCACTCACGCGTGCAGAGGGAGAAGCAGAACACCCATGAAGGCATCAGGTGCCAAGGCAAGGGGAGAAAATCCTGGCACAGAGCCCTCAAGGCGGGGAAGCAGGGCTCCTGTGTGGGGACCGGGGGGAAACCCTGCCAAGAACATGCTCTTCCAGCCCAGCAGCTGGTAGGCCTCGTGAGTCTAGCATGGCTGAGGAAAAGCGCATGAATCAGGAGCAGGTGGCTGTGGCTGTGATTTTCCACACACACAGCAAGAATTCTCTGGAAATGGCATTTGCAGCTGGCTGTTGCTGATGGCGCCGACCTTTGAACATGGGGACCTGGGTCCCCAAGAAGTTCCAGCCTTGAAAGAAGATGAGGGAATCCATGGCACTCTGTCCCATGTGAATATAAGAAGTCAAGAACTACTGGGCGGTGGTGGCGCAAGCCTTTAATCCCAGCACTTGGGAGCAGAGACAAGTGGATCTCTGTGAGTTAGAAACCAGCCTGGTCAACAGAGTGAGTTCCAGGACAGGCTCCAGAGCTACAGAGAAACCCTGTCTCAAAAAACAAAACAAAACAAACAAACAAACAAAGAAGTCAAGAACTTAACTTACTTTTTAAAATTGAAATCTTCTGCCAGGCATGGCAGAATACATCTTTAGTCAGTCCTAGCACCCTATAGGCAAAGGTAAGAAAACCTTTGTGAGTTCAAGGCCAGCCTGGTCTACCTAGCAAGTTACATAGTGAGGCTGCCTCAAACAAACAAACAAACAAACAAACAAGCCTTCTCTCATCTTTTCTGCCTTCTACTCTGGCCATAGAAGAGACATTACACTCCTTAAACAGAAGGGTGAGCTGGGACAAGGGCCAGGAAGCTGCAGAGAAAGGAAGTCGGGGAGAAGAGTGGGAAGGATTTACTACATCTCAAAGGTATCAATTATCACTTCTAAAGACCTAGGAATTACACGCAAAATGTGCAAAAATGATACTCAGGGCACAGTTCCTTCCCATGTCCCTATCCTGGGCATCTGGGTCCACTCTAGGGAGACACAGTAGCTGAGTCCAGTGCAGAGGAC